AGCTCCTCCCGCGGCCCTGTGGTAGCGCGGGGCTTGAGGAGGGCCCGGCCGCTCCCCTGCTTCCATGTGGGGCTGCCGCCTGCCCCGCGCACGGCGCTCCCCGGCCCGCGGCCCTTCCTGCTGCAGCCCGGGCCGACGGAGAGCCGGGAAGCCGTGCCCCTGTCCCCTCCGGGTCGGAGAACACCCCTCAGAGAACACACCCTCCCCCCCTCGGGAACAGCCTGGGAGGTGCGGGCAGGGCACATGTCAAGTGCCTAATTGGCCCAGGGGATCAGTAATTGGTCCCGGGGCGGTGTGTGGGTGAGGGGAACACAGGGTTCCCGCAACGAGACCAGCAAAATGCACTTGGTTTAAGATTAAAAATAAATAAATAAATAATCTCAGCACTATTATTCCTAACCCTGCGCATAGCAGCACTGGCCATACGTACGTTTTGAACATGTGTTGGATTTTTTTGTAGAACGTAGACCAAAATGAAGTGTTAGCAAGTCAGGATGCTCGATCTGAAAGGATTAATGCTGTATGTTTTGTGTTGTGTTGTGTGCTTTTTCTTTGGTTTTTTTTTTGTTTGTCTGTTTTCCCCCCACAGGAACAAGAAAATTGTTGATTATTCTCAATTTGGGGATTTAGAGGAGGATGGTAAGTGGGGTATTCTTAGTACAAAAATGTCAAATGCTACTGGAACAACCCAAAATATCATGAGGGGTTTTTTTGTGAATTATTTCACTGGGAAGGCTGTTGCTGATTTCACTGAAGTCATCTGGGCACACTATTAAATATCGTACTTCAACAAGAATATGATGGCTGTAAGACAGAGCATAACAACAGAACACATTGTGCCTAGCTGTGGGAAAATCTATTTCCCTGCCTCAGTTTTCAGCGGTAATTGGTTGCTCCATGTCCTCCTGATGATCACAGGGTTGGAAGGGACCTTAGAGATCATCTAGTGGGACGCCTCCCAATAGACCAGGTTGCTCAAAACCCCATTCAACCTTGACTTGAACACTTCTAAGGAGGAGGTATCTGAAACTTTCCTGGGCAGCCTGTTCCAGTGTCTCACCATCTTCACAGTTAAGAATTTCTTACTAATAGCTAATATAAATCTACACTCTTCTAGTTTAAAGCCATTACCCCTTGTCCTCTTGCTGTGCGCCATTGTAAAAAGTCCCCCTCCCCAGCTTTCCTGTAGGTCCCCTCAGGTACTGAAAGGCCACTATGAGATCTGCCCGAAGCCTTCTTTTCAGACTAAAAAATCCCAACTCTCTCAGCTTGTCTGCATAGGAGAAGTACTTCAGCCCTTAGATCATCTTCATGGCCCTCCTCTGGACTCCCTTCAACAGCTCCATGTCCCTCTTGTTCTGAGGGCTCCAGAGCTGGACACTATTCCAGGTACAGTCTCACCAGAGCAGAGTGGAGGAACAGAACCACCTCCCTTGACTGTTGGTCACACTGATCTTGATGCATCCCAGGACACTGTTGGCTTTATGGGCTGCAGAGTTGTACATTGCCAGCTCTTTTTGAGCTTCTCATCAGCCAACACCCCCAAGTCATTTTCCTCGGGGCTGTTCTTGATCCATTCTCAGCGCAACCTGTGTTTGTGCTTGGGATTGCCCCAAATCAGGTGCAGGAGACAGTATTGAATGTTTTGCTCTAGGCCAGGTAGATGATGTCAGTTGCTCTCTCCTTGCCCACCAATGCTGTGACCCCATTGTAGAAGGCCACTGCATTTGTCTGGCACGATTTGCCCTCTGTGAAACCATGCTGGTTGCCACTAACCACCTCCACCTTTTCCATGTGCCTTAACAGAGCCTTCAGGAGGATCTGATCCCTGATCTTGCTTGGCACAGAGGTGAGAACAACTGGCCTGTAGTTCCTCGGATCTTTATTTTTTTTTCTTCTTTAAAATAGGAATTATGTTTCCCCTTCTCCAGTCAGTGGGAACTTCACCAGACTACCATGACTTTTTAAATATGATGGAACGTGGCTTTTGCCAAAAAATGACATTTTTATCCACCTTTTCCCTCAGGAGCTGCAGATGGATGTCATCAGGTCCTATAGACTTGTAAATTTTAACCTGCTTTAGATAGTCTTAAACCTGCTTTTCTCCTCCTGCTTCCTTTCCCCAGTCCCTGCCTTTGCCTTCTGCAACCTGGGTGGTGTGGCCAGAGCCCTTACCAGTGAAGACTGAGGCAAAAAAGTCATTGAGCACCTCAGCCTTCTCCATATCCTGCATGACATTGTTCTTACAGAATTTGGTTGCTTTAATGTTTGTGGGTTTGTTTTTTTCTTTCCCATTCTATTTTCAGGAGCCAGGCAACAGTTTGAATTATTGGAAAGGGGAGGCCAAAATTAAATAATTTTGAAGGTCTCAAGTTAATCATACGGATTAACGCAAATACTTGGTTTAAATGTGATACATGACTTTTCTTAGCTTGTACAAGATCATTTGTAATATTAAAGAAAACTAAATTTTCAGAAACAGTGATCTTATCTAAGGTTCTCCATCATATAGAGAAAACTGGAGATAATGTTTTTTTCCTTATTTTGCACTATGATATGCAGCATCTTCGGCTGGAAGAAAGGCAGTTTTCATGGATTCTAATTTTCCTTGGAAATTGGAGAAATGCATTGTATTTGGAAAAGGCAATATAAAGATGGTAGAAAAAGGGGAGGAGCTCACTTTTTTTTTAAATAGGGAAACAATTCCCAAAACACCAAGAACTCTAAAACTCTTTGAAGAGTTTTATCATTGATTGCTCTTGACTATATCAAAAGGCAAACTTCTAGTTATTGAAAATCTGGTAACACATTAGACATTGAAGTTTTATTGCTATATTAGTAATAAAAATTGAAATAATTACCTCTTGAATAAAAGGATATGCAAAAGAGATCTTGTTAAATTTTCATTTAAAATCATTTAAGAATAGTATATTTGCGTTCTTTAAAAATGGAATTAATTTCAGAAAAGGTTATCTTTGTTGTATTTTCAGTGTGTGATGAAATTAAATCAAATTACTTCTTTTGGACATATGGAAGAGTATAGGAAACTGCATTAAAGGTTGTTGCTGTTTCCCAAACAGATGAAGACTTTGCATATATAGCTGCACCTTCAAGCAAAAAATCCAGAACAGAGCTCAAGGACCCAAAGAAGGAGAAAAAAGAGAAGCAAAAAAAGCCACTTGAATTGAGTAGTTCACAAAAGCAGACACCTACTAAAAGGTAAGAATTGTTGAAATGTGGTCAGTTCTGTGTAAACCTGGATTTCAGTAAAAGTATTTGGTTTGCCTTTTTTTTTCCCTAGAGCTTTAATCAGCTGAGAATAAACAACTAACATACCAGTGTGGTAAAGATCTTCAGCTTTATTGCTATAGTTGCAAATCAGGGATTATGTACTTATGCACAGTGACAGGAAAACTTGCTGGAGTTTGGTAGTGAGCTATGTCTTACCTTGTTACGAAACTCCAGCAAGTGGCCTGCAGAGGTGCAGAAACAGGTTTATGTGTCTAATCTTATCTTGATATATCTACAGAGCAAAATAACCAACAATTCGGAGTTACCAAGGGACTGCTAAGACTGAGAAATATACAGACAAGTTTGACTCCTTAAAAAAGAACATATTTAAAGCTTGATAGAAAATATAAAGTCAGTGCCAATGAAAACACAAATCTAATTATTTTGGTGGTAAAGTTGCACACAAATATTACATTTCAGTGTGGTATTCCAAACAAATGTAATAATCTTTTTCTGTGCTAATTGCTCGTTCATATTTATAGACACACACACACAATGTTTTGCAATCATAATACTTTTAAGTATAGCATACTTTAAATATTAGTGTGTACTTTGTTTAAATCTTTTCAGGCAGAAATATTAATAATGTAATATGCTAAAAGTATGTATTGAAGTATTAATCTCTTCAGAACTACTGGAATTTTTTTAAGTTCAGTGAGTCAGAAATATATCTGTAACACTCATGTAATTGTTTCATCATTTAGCATGTTTGTTTGATTTATTTTTTTTTTCCAGGATATCCTTGGATGACAAACTTTATCAAAGAGGTTTAGAAGTTGCCTTAGCCTTATCCCTCAAAGAAAAATCTGCAAATATCCTTGAGGTGCAAAATTCAGAAGAGCAAGGTTATTTTATAGTTCAGTGCGACACTCTTCATATGTAGTGAATTGGAACAGGACTTACTATATTTTGCAGTGAAATGGATTGAAAGTTGTGTTTTATTTCAAGATTTCATCATAAGGAAATAGGAGTTTTTAAATAGTGCCTGTCTTCTTATGTTCATGGGATTTTTTGTGGAAAACTTTTTTAAGATCTTGCAAACATAAAGTTTGATTAGAGACAAATAAATTGTTAGCTATTTTTATTTCTTAATATGTTAACTTTTTATAATCTCATTTTTGTATGGTGATACTTTATATTGTTGGTTTTCTGGATCCTAAAACAGGAAAGAATATTGAATCAGAAGATGTACATGGGAGACCTGCTTTTTCCAACTGCAGTGTAGACAGGGAACTTTTAAGTAAGTTGTTCTCACATTCTTCTTTTTTTCAGAAACAGTGCTTCAAGATACATTTAAGTACCTTATCTCTTCTTTGCTTTAATTAGTTTCTGTTTTTCACTTACGTGGAAAAAGAGTTTGTTTAAGACTGAAGAATGAAGTATGCATCAATTTTCCGTTAAAAATTTGGTCCCAGTCTTAAAATGGGAAAACCTGTGAATTGCTGAGTGAGATGAGAAAAATGAGTTGGAAAAAGCAACAGATGTGATGTTTTGAGATGCTGAGTTTATTTACTTCTTCAAGAAGTTACACTTACCCTCCACTCCTCAATGGCTCCATAATGCCCAAGCATCACGTAAACATGACCAATTGCTGTGCGACTGGAAATGGTTTCATTTTTCCAGTTTTCTTTTGGTCTTTTGTCTTTTCCTCAGCTTGATTGCAGATAAATATTGGTATCATATTATATATATATATTATCATATTACCAATATCATAACCAGAAAGTACAGTTTGGTCAGTTAAAAGAATAAAATGAGAATCTCATGAAAGCAAGTGCTGATGATATGCTTCTGTATAGTATACTTCAAAATCACCAAAAAATAATCTGGGGACTCAAATACCTGCTTCTTTTTGAGTAGGAGAATATATTTACTGTGAATTTATTATATAGACCTCCTTCTGTTTTCTAGGTCTCAATCAGGTTATGGAGGATGATGAATATAAGGCTTACTGTAGCCAAAGGACAGCAGCATCTAAAGTTCCAGCACATCAGAAGTTCCTGACTGTTGACAGTGATGATGGAGAGCATGCTACTGACTCTGAGCCAGAGTCTGTACCCAGTAAGTTCTCAATAAAACTCCTCTCCTTAGATGTGTTTTGAATGTCATGCCTTACATTTAGTTTATATTTTCAGTGAAATGCTTGTTACTTCTACTGTATCTTCCTTCTCCCTGCTTCACCAAGCATTATCTTTTAATGCTAGTGACATCTCAATTGTGCTTTGGCACTAAATCTAAACCCTAGAGATTATTCATACAGATTCTCTAAGTGGAAAAAAAATATACTGCTTCTTTGCATTTGCTGCAGTATGTCAGAACAAATTTCTTCTACCCTCTTTGTCCAGCACAGTTTCTTCTCTTTAAAGACCCCCTGTAAACTTCTCCAGTTGTCTGGGGTTTGCATGAGAACAGTGACTCTGGAGTAGTGTAAGGCATTAGTGCTTTCAGTACTGGCTTTAAGCTGCTTAAAAAAAAAAAGATACATAGCCAGAATTTTCAGTGAAATACAGTATCAAGGATATAATTAAGATATTACTGTTTGATAGAGAACTATTTTTCATATTTACCAATGTATGGGGGTTTTTTAATAATAAATTTATAAAATCTTTCTTACAACTGAACTTAGAAACAGTGTTTTTCCACTTTATATAGTAATGACTAAGAATATGTAAAAATCAGAAGCGTTGCCAAATAATTTCATCTTTCTCATCTTGCACACATGGGATTCTGGTAATTCTGCTGTTAAAATAATTATTGTATGCCATTTCTGGGCCCCTCAGTTCAAAAAGGACAGGGAACTGCTCGAGAGAGTCCAGCGCAGAGCTACGAAGATGATTAAGGGAGTGGAACATCTCCCTTATGAGGAAAGGCTGAGGGAGCTGGGTCTCTTTAGCTTGGAGAAAAGGAGACTGAGGGGTGATCTCATCAATGTTTACAAATATGTAAGGGGTGAGTGTCAGGGGGACAGAGTTAGGCTTTTCTCGGTGATGACCAGTGATAGGACAAGGGGTAATGGGTGTAAATTGGAGCATAGGAAGTTCAAGGTGAATATCCGAAAAAATTTTTTTACTGTGAGAGTGACAGAGCACTGGAACAGACTGCCCAGGGAGGTTGTGGAGTCTCCCTCACTGGAGACATTCAAAACCCACCTGGATGAGTTCCTGTGTGATGTACTCTAGGTGACCCTGCTCTGGCAGGGGGGTTGGACTAGATGATCTCTCGAGGTCCCTTCCAGCCCCTAAGATTCTATGATTCTATGATTTATACCAGGGCATTCCATATTAAAGTACAGAGCAAGAATTCTGTAAATATTGGAGGCTAATTCTTGTTCAGATCAGCATATAAATATATGCAAATTTGTTTTACCATATCCTTAAGATACCCTGTTTTTTGAAAAATGTCAGAAGACCAGGTAGATTATTAAGCAATACAGTAAGATAATTATTTGTTTGCCTTGTTTGTACAATATTAACTACCTAATTTGTAAGGCATGGTGATAGAATTTAAATGCTAATAAAATCTTAACTGAGCTGATGTAATCACAACAAAACAGATTTTATATGAGTACATATCCTGTGTGGAAGGAACAAAATACCCAGCAGGACCAGAACCCTGGACTTCCACAGGGCAAACTTTGGTCTCCTCAATCATCTATTAAGGGAAATCCCATGGGACAGGGTGCTAGAAAATAAAGGAGCTCAAGATAGCTGGTCAACATTCAAGGACCACTTCTTGCAAGCACAGGATCAGAGTGTCCCAATGGTTAGGAAATCTAGTAAGGGTGCTAGGAGACCTGCATGGTTAAAGAAGGAACTACTGGGCAAACTTAAGTGGAAAAGGAAAATCTATAGATCATGGAAGGAGGGGCTGGTCACTTGGGAGGAATATAGGACTGTTGTCAGAGGATGTAGGGAGGCAATTAGGAAAGCTAAGGCCTCCTTGGAACTTAACCTTGCAAGTCAGGTTAAGGATAATAGAAAGGGCTTTTTCAAGTACATAGCTAGCAAAACTAGCAATAGAGGCAATATTGGCCCATTGAGGAATGAGGTGGGAGCCCTGGTGACAGAGGATATAAAGAAGGCAGAGGTGCTGAATGCCTTCTTTGCCTCTGTCTTCACTCCTGCAGGGTCTCCCTATGAGCCCCAGATTCATATAGCCCCAGAAGAAGTCAAGATAGAGGAAGAGTTTGACATGGTAGATGAGGATTGGGTTAGGGATCAGTTGAGTAATCTGGACATCCATAAATCAATGGGTCCAGATGGAATGCACCCAAGGGTGCTGAGGGAGCTGGCGGAGGTCATTGCTAGGCCACTCTCCATCATCTTCAGTAAATCATGGGCAACAGGTGAGGTGCCTGAGGACTGGAGGATAGCAAATGTCACTCCAGTCTACAAGAAGGGCAAGAAGGAGGACCCGGGTAACTATAGACCGGTCAGCCTCACCTCCATCCCTGGAAAGGTGATGGAACAACTTGTTCTTGTGACTATCTCCAGGCACATCAAGGACATGGGGGTCATCAAGAGCAGTCAGCATGGTTTTATCAAGGGTAAATCATGTTTGACTAACCTCATAGCCTTCTATGAGGAAATTACTAGGTGGATAGATGATGGTAGAGCGGTAGATGTGGTTTATCTTGATTTCAGTAAAGCATTTGACACCGTCTCCCACAGCATCCTTGTGGATAAGTTGATCAGGTATGGGTTTGGTGACCAGGAAGTGAGGTGGATTAGGAACTGGTTGAAAGGAAGGAGTCAGAGAGTTGTAGTCAATGGGGTAGAATCTGGTTGGAGGTGTGTTACTAGTGGAGTCCCACAAGGGTCGGTGCTGGGACCGGTGTTGTTCAACATCTTCATCAACGACCTGGATGAGGGTATAGAATGTACCCTCAGCAAGTTTGCTGATGACACTAAGCTGGGAGGAGTGGCTGACACACCAGAAGGCTGTGCTGCCATTCAGAGAGACTTAGATAGGTTGGAGAGTTGGGCGGGGAGAAACATGATGAAATTCAACAAGGGGAAGTGCAGAGTTTTACATTTGGGGAAGAACAACACCATGTCCCAGTACAGGTTGGGGGCTGAACTGCTGGAGAGTAGTGTAGGTGAAAGAGACCTGGGGGTCCTGGTAGACAGGAGGATGACCATGAGCCAGCAATGTGCCCTTGTGGCCAAGAAGGCCAATGGCATCCTGGGGTGCATTAGAAAGGGTGTGGTTAGTAGGTCAAGAGAGGTTCTCCTCCCCCTCTATTCTGCATTGGTGAGGCCACATCTGGAGTATTGTGTCCAGTTCTGGGCCCCTCAGTTCAAAAAGGACAGGGAACTGCTCGAGAGAGTCCAGCGCAGAGCTACGAAGATGATTAGGGGAGTGGAACATCTCCCTTATGAGGAAAGGCTGAGGGAGCTGGGTCTCTTTAGCTTGGAGAAAAGGAGACTGAGGGGTGATCTCATCAATGTTTACAAATATGTAAGGGGTGAGTGTCAGGGGGACAGAGTTAGGCTTTTCTCGGTGATGACCAGTGATAGGACAAGGGGTAATGGGTGTAAATTGGAGCATAGGAAGTTCAAGGTGAATATCCGAAAAAATTTTTTTACTGTGAGAGTGACAGAGCACTGGAACAGACTGCCCAGGGAGGTTGTGGAGTCTCCCTCACTGGAGACATTCAAAACCCACCTGGATGAGTTCCTGTGTGATGTACTCTAGGTGACCCTGCTCTGGCAGGGGGGTTGGACTAGATGATCTCTCGAGGTCCCTTCCAGCCCCTAAGATTCTATGATTCTATGATTTATACCAGGGCATTCCATATTAAAGTACAGAGCAAGAATTCTGTAAATATTGGAGGCTAATTCTTGTTCAGATCAGCATATAAATATATGCAAATTTGTTTTACCATATCCTTAAGATACCCTGTTTCTTTATGTCCAGAATGTGATTAGAAGGCTCTAGAATAATAGCAAATTGTATTTCCTGTAAAGAGATTACATCCTTTTTCTTTGCTGTAGGTAAGGAGTCAGAAGAAGATTCAAATTATAGTGAAGGTGATGATGAAGACTTTGCTATGGAAAAAAAGAAAGCCAAAGGAAATAAAAAGAAAACCAAACAAAAGATGCCATCTGAAAGAGAGAAGAAAAATCCCAAATCTAAGATTAACACTACAGGTAAGTTTGTACTATGCATTTTAAATAGATTTCTTTATAATAAAAGTTACTTTTATTTTCACTGAAGGAATAGATAAATTTGACCAATACATTGCACAGGGTTATGTTGAAAATGACTATATCCAGAGTAAAAGGAGAAGAGCAGAAAAAAAAGTTCTGAAACAAAAATATGTCTTATGTTAAATTAACATCCTTTACAACAAAAGTAGACAAAACTGAATAGACAGTTTATTTAATTTAATTTTATTTCTAGCTTTTATGAAAAGGTTAAATAACAATGAATTATCTGAGGATTTAAAAAAATACGTTTAAAACTTGGAGCCTCCTGTTGCAGTTGCATGTATTGATTTTTAATTCAAGGATAGCTAAAAAATCCTAGTTCTACAAACAACTTGGCAAAAACCATTAGATCTGCATGCCCCTCAGAGTTAATTGTTCACTATGTTGCTAACCCTATTTATTTTAAAGTAAGTAAGAAAAGTAAGAAAATTCTCATCATGGTGTTAATCTTGTGTCTGGCTCGATAATGTGTTTGTCGTGGTTTGACTCAGAGATTGGCAATTAAACCAGTAACAAAAATACTCTCAATCACCTCCCCCTCCTGCCCAGGCAAGGAAGCAGAGAGAAAATGAAGGAGAGAGACTTCATAGATTGAAGTCTAAACTAGACAGCTTTAATTAAATACTAATGAAAATATGTACAATTATATACAAGTATGTTCAGGAATGTCCAAAACCCCCAGCGATTCCCACAACACTCTCCTGAGCTCCAAAATGTTCCAGAGCTGCCAGAGAGAGCAGCAGAGCAGACAGGAGCTGAGGGTAGTTGCAAGGGTCCGGAATGCACGGGCCTGGGGATCAACAGTGATGGATGGATGGAGTCCTCTCTGGATGCTGGCCATGGACAGAAGTGAAGGGAAGAAGAAGCAGGAAGGAAGTTGACTTCCATGATCTTACACCAAGTTTATGTACATATATGGAACTGAATACTTTAGTCAATTTTGCTGTACATCTAGTCCACTCCTCCCTATGGGAGGGTTGCAGATACAACTCTTCTTTGGTAGCCTCTGAGGGTGCAGATTCAACAGTGCAGCAAAGTCACCTCCAAGTCCTGGCAATCACATAAACATTCCAGTGTTATCAGCCCACTAGCTGTAAAACTTGCTGCTAGTTAAAAGAGAGCTCGCTGAAGGAAAAAAAAAAATCAGTAAAAGGAAAATTGTCTTCATCCTGACTCAAACCAGGACAGTGTTTTAATATCAGGCCTGAGTATACACTATGTAATTTAGTCTAAAATTAGGTTTACTTATGACAAGTAATGGTTTGCTTTGTGTAACTGACAGAAGCTTCTTCCCTCTTAGAAATTTGGTATCTAGCAGGTCTTACAAAAGAAATTATTACACTACTTATTTTCAAATCAGGATTGAAATTCCAGAGTATAACAGGACTGATAGGTATATACTCTTTAAAAAAATGTGACAATCTAGAAGCATGCTCATTATTTCACTCAATTCAGAGAGCTCGTGCTGTACAATGCAGTGTGATGATGTCTCTGCTAAAGACTCTCTTTCTAAGGTCACTTTTATTTTCCAATTAAGTATCACCTGTAGTTTCTCCTTCCTGGATAATGGAACAAAAATCTGAGCCAACACAAAAGATTATGTCCGGTTCTTCAGAACCAGTTGGGAGGCCTTTACATACATCAAGTCCTGTAACAGTCAAGAGGCCTAAATGGACACCACCAGGTAAATAGAAGATTGCTATGTTTTTAGAATACTTTTTTTTTGTTTATGCTGTGAAAACTATAAAAAGACAACAGTTACATTATTATTTTTTTTTCCCTCTACACTTCTTACACCTGCTTTTTGTTGTACAATTATTTTCAGCTGCATCAGGTAGCAGTAATAACTCTATGAAGTATGGTTCTGTTAAGTCACCTACTCAGTGTCTGAGACTTGGCCTCTCCAGACTAGCAAGAGTCAAACCACTGCATCCCAGTGCTACCAGCAGCTAAGTGGTCAGTGACAACACGCCACACGAAGGAGAAGACTTCAGAAAGTGTTTTGCTTGTAAATGGACGGTGGGCAGATAAAGCTTTGTGGCATTGTCCATCTTAAAGGACTGTTTTTTATGTACATAGCTAATACTATCACAAGTTTTTATTCTGCAACATGGGCATCCTTAAGTGCTACTAAATCATAATATTATTTAGTCAAGGTGACATCTGATTCACCAGCTTTGTTATGTATTATACTCGGACATGTGGGTTTGTAATAGTTGGAATTCTCTGATAATCTAAACTCCTGGCATTAAAATAGTCTAGACAGCACTATGTCAATTAGAGAATTTGATATCTCAAATCTATTCTTAACACAAGGGAAAGTAACAGTTGGAAATTTTTTTCTTGTAACAGTGAATGTATCACTCTCTTCCCCCTTGGGAAGTTTGTCACCACTCTTTCAAAAGCTGTTAATGTTTGCATGTCTTACCATGTCAATTTTAATAAGTTTTTATGTATTAAAGATATAAGAAATGTTTTTTAGGATGCTGTATTTAAAAAAAATACTAAAATATTTTGTATAGTACCATTTACCATATTAATTGACTTAATTAAATTTGAAAATAACTTTTAAATTTTGGCTACAGTCCTGCAAATATTTCTGTATGTGCATAATCTTATTGGAAGTCAAGAGCATTAGCCAGACTCAGGCAGTGAGGAGTTTGCTTTGCGCTCCTTGGTCTATGTTGAAGACTATAATACCATACATAGTTAGAGGTATTTGTAAAGTATTGAAATGATAGCTACTAAATAACAGGACTAAGCTTTCAAACTTGTTAGTCCACAGTGTAAATAATTTCCTGCCTAAGCATGTTCACTATGTCAGATGACACAGCAGATGTGTTTGGCCCTGTATTTCATAAGGGATCTGGTCGTGACTGAGTGAATTGCACTAGCAAAGGAATATATAGCCCTATATCAGAGTAATTACACAGACAAAAGCATGGTGCTGCCTAAACTGAAACAATGGTAAGCCAAAAAACTTCTAAAATATACAGTACTTACGTTATTTAAAAAACATACTAATAAAAGCATCTTTATTAAAACCAGTGTGCGTATTGCCCTATGGAAGGAATGAGAAGAAATCTGTGGATCAATATCCATTTCTCAGAAGCAGGGAACGTGGGCATCATGACATAAAACCTCACATCATCCACATTTTAGATGTCTTGACACCTGGCACAAAATCATGTAGCCCTAAGTGGAGCGTGGTCCATTGAGCAGGGCTAAATGAGTTCAGGAGAAAGGAACATGCCTGTTGTGTCTTGTGCTTGCCTGGTTCATTCAAGAGTTCTCTTAGCTTGCTAAAATGGCACACCAAAAAAACAGAAGTTTTCATTGATGAGCTTGAAACTGCTTCCAAGCAAGAGTAAAGCAGAAGCACCCACAGGAAGAAAGGTAGGTATCCAACAGTAATGTTTGTGACAACTAATAACTAATACGTAAGTTGTGTTATTCCTCTTGGTTCCCTGTCTTTGTGCTGCCTTAAGTAGCCCCTTTCTGAGTTGTACAGTGGCAATGCAGCTGGAGCAAAGTGGGAAGCACAGAGAACCTTGAGCCCTGGCGTGGTTTGTTGCAGAATCCTCATCCATTGCCCCGCTTCAGGAGTCACTACTTCAGTTCTTTACTTTCCACTAGAAGCATTAGTGAACAACTGTATGGTCCTTCATTGCATTGCAGACACCAGGTCTCTGTTGATACTAAACTGTCATGATGTGTTTTGCTTTTACAATTTTTTCAGGGATAAGTACAGATTTCCTGCGGTTGTGCATTTTCTTGCTACAGGGTTCTTATTATGTAACAATGCAAAGTATTTTCTTAACATGGTGCTTCCAGCTTCCTGGAGCTGGAAGATTTAGTAACTCCCTTTTTTCCCCCCCTCTCATCCCATTATTCTTGTTCTTCACAAAACATGCATTTGAGATTTGTGTTCCTCTTTCAAAAACGATGTAATTTTTCAGTCTTTCACTTGTGTTTGAATCCCTCCTTAAGTTCGTATGGGTTTCCAGTTTATGAAGATTTTCCAGTTTTTCTCTACTTTTTTTTTCTGAGTGAAAATTCCACATAGGCAATAAAACAAACAAACAAACGAACGAATGAAAAACCAGTAAGGTCTTTGAAAGGGAATTAGTAAGTGTTCTGGATTGCATATTTCAAAGTTACTCTGTACTTCACCTGAATAAAAGGTATAGCAGGTAGGTGCAGATTATTTTTATAGAACATTACTTTTGTGTCTTAGGTTATTAAAGAACATGGTCAAAAGCAGCCAATTTTTTTTTTTTCAATTAGTAACAGTAAAAGAGAGGTCTGTGTTATTCCAGCTGCTTTCAAACTTGGGAAACTGTTTTTTTTTTTACTTACAAAGAACATTTACTGTTTCCTCATTGCTCTAAATTTTAAACACCACATAGAATTGTCCAATAGTTGCACAATGGTATGATGTAAAATGCATTATTATTTTGATTTGTGAAGCAATAAGACACTGAGACACTGTACCAGTTTATATGTCAGAGTTTAGTTTTCACACACTTGCTGGTTTTTGAGGTATGAATAAAAAAGAAAAAGATTTTTAAAGAATTAACTTCACAATAGTTGAAAGCTGCCTTTGCACAGCTGTGTGAACAGTTTGTTTGCTGTACCAATGGGCATGTAGGTTTGTAATATAGAACAGGGATGCATCACAAAAGCATTCAGATTCCCACCAGCCTGAAGACACTGTGCTCTAAGACTGATACATAGGTCAAGAGTTGAAACCAAGAGGTGAAAATGGCTAAAACATAGGCACATAGCAGTGTAAAATTTCTTTGAATATTCATAAAGCAGATTTATGTACCTCCAGACATTTAATGTCATCGGTGCATCTCTCACTTCCTATTCTCTGCGTACTGATTATGCCACAAAAATAGAGGAGGAAGTTGCCAGGCAAACATCAGCAGAAACCTACAAAGTTAAGTGCTGCTGTCTGGGGACACCGACAGCACCTCTTCACCCTCTGAGTCACAGAGTGGCTCTTTTAGACAATGGTGACTGACTGGGCATTGCACGTGTCTTTATCCATGCATGACAGCTTGCAAATTAATATCGATGCTTCGCCACAGCAACTCCAAAGAGCTGGTTTAGCAGTACCTTTAATGCATTGAGATTTTCACTGTAGAGTTGAGATTCCTCATAATAAATGCAGAGCATTATTTAAAGGATTAATTTCCAAATAGGGTATAGGGCAGGAGCACGAATTGGCTGTCATGATTTAGTTGGGCACAGGGTATTTGAACAGACATATTTGGAACCTCCAAGCATCAGAATGAATAGAACAGAACTCAACTGGCTTCTTCAGTTGGAAGAGGCCTACAGTGATCATGTAGTCCAACTGCCTGACCACTTCAGGGCTGACTCAATTTTTAAGCATGTTATGGGCATTGTCCAAATGCCTCTGGAATGCTGACAGACACGAGACATCGACCACCTCTAGGAAGTCTGTTCCAGTGGTTGACCATGTTTCTTGGTAAAGAAATGCTTCTGAACCACCCCTGGTGAAGCTCTGAGCCATTCCCACATGTCCTGCTGCTAAATACCAGAGAGAAGAGACCAGCACCTTCCTCTACCCCTCCTGAGGAAGCTGTAGAGAGAAATGAGGTCACTCCTCAGCCCCATTTTCTTCAAACGAGATAAACCCTTGGCTGCTAGTCATAGGACATGCATTCCAGCCCTCTCACCAGCTTTGTTGCTCTCTTCTGGATGCGTTCAAGGACCTGAATATCCTTAAACGGTGAGGCCTAGAACTGTACAGTGCTTGAGGTGAGGCCACACCACCTCTAAATAGAATGCAACTGTTGACCCTGCTGTCAACCAGCACTCGCAGGTTCCTCTGCAGGGTGCTGTACCAATTTATATTTGTGCCCAGCATTAGTCCATCACAGATGCAGAATCTGGTATTTGTTCGTGTTAAGTTTCATGCCGTTAGTGATTGCCCAATGCTCCAGTCTCTCTAGATGCCTCTGGAAGGCATCTTGTTGCCTTCAAGAGAATGAAAGCTTGTTATGTTGACACTGTGTCACATTGTTTGAATCTCCCATATTCCTATTCCTCAAAATGTTAGCCAACTCATGGTTGTTGCCTTAGGGCATTTTTATCAGTCTGACTTTTTCTTCTGTGTTTCTCTGTCTTACCCTCCTGCTTCTGGTAACACGTCTGAGAAGCAGCAATGGAAGAATATAAAAATTGTGCAGCTCAGAAATTAATGCAACTTAACTCACCAGCACTTCTAAGTGAGCAATCATTATTTAGCATTCTCTTACATGATATGGCAGGTGCAGAGGATGATGTTTCATATTGCTATGAAATATGAAAAACCATTAGCTACCACTAAGTATTTAGTCAAATAAACATGCTGCTACCATCCGTCTCAATCCACGCCTTTGCAAAACATTAATAGCTTCACTAAATTTTTGCTTGCAGATTGGTTGTCTGTTTGCTCTTCCTACATTATTAATCATGTTAGGATCATGAGGCAAAAATCACTATTTCAACTTTCAGTATTTCTGAAAAAAAAACCCATGAATTTACTTTTGATTGAGAAACTCCCAGCTTGTGAATAGTTTGTTCTAAGGTTCAAAAGGGCTGAGGGCTGAAACCCAGCCTTCATTTTCCTGGTCTGTATTGGTTATTCTTAGATATTCTGTCAATGGGAAATCCTGTATCTTTGGTGTAAATAAATCATAAAGGTGTAAAGTAATGCTTATTCAGAGCTGTGGGATTCAATACGGGAAACAAACCTTTTCCCATTGTTACTTTAATAGGAACAATAATGCCTAAATGCCATTTCCTC